AGCACCGCATATCTCAAGGATTGGGAAACGCACAAAAGGCCACGCGCATACGCACGTATTGCTATGAAACGGGTATGGAACGTCATGGACCACTGAGCAAAAGGAGGGAGGATATCGTGGCAGAATTGACAGTGTCAGGCCGACACCCGTACAATGATTCTGGATCTTAACTACGGGTATTTGAGGATGGGAAGACAATCCATAATGATCCGTATGATAGACTGATTCCAGCATCAGTGATGAGGCTGCTAGAGAATGATATAGCCTCCAGAGAGGGCCCCCGGAGCAACTACGGGGCAGGCAATGATATATGCGGCTACATGTTTTCGACAAGCGCATGGAAAAGAGAATTGTTATCCCACGGAAAGAGATCAGCCCGTGCTTGGTCTGGTAGTGATTGTTGCAACGAAATACCATGGAGCCCATGCTCGTGAGCCACCTTGATCTTGTCGACAGCACGTGGCTGCGAAAAGAAGAAGTAGTCCCCATTCTTGTTGTGGTATCTGCCGTTGCCCTGTGGGTCCTGATGGAATCCGTATATCATAGACGAGTAACCGACATCGGCAGAATCATAGGTAGCTCGAGCCAGAAGAGGCACCTGAGATGGCGACCGAAACTACAACTCCAAGGGCAAGCACGGGACATCGGTGTTGTGCAATATCGGAACCACTACTACAAGAAGATAACGAAAGGAAAACTAGAGGATCTCACTATAATTCAACACTGGCGGTGAATGCCCAACACTCACTTGTAGAACAATTTTGCCGAGATCCACGCCAGCCGCCGAGGCGTTTAGGATGGTTTGCTTGGCAAATGCGTCCGTGTTGAACGCGGCCGTATCGTTTTTGTCATCATATCGTGGCCATAATGAAACGAAGGTGGTATCGGCGATCCCTCCCAATTTGGCCTTCGCGAACACATCTAACTTCTCAGGCGTCAACCTGACAACCCAACGGTGGCTGGTGGTTCCAATCGGTCCACTACACACGCGAGAGTCTACTGGTAGTTTTATATGCACCGTAAGACTCACCGGATTGAAGAAATCAACTTCAGTTCATTGATAGCCTCCAAGGCCTCCTTCACATGTTGGGGGGTCTGATCAGAATAGGGGAGGAAATCCGCTATCCTGAAGCCGTCGACGGGGAAGTACTCCACGAACTTGGCAGCATTCTGGCGAAAGCGCGTCTTGTTGAAAGGCTCGCCATACCCGTATTGCGCATCGATCACGTCACCCAGTATCCTGCCACCTCGAGCTCGTACTTTCTCCCTCAGAGCCATGAACCCAGATTTACTCCATCGGCTCGGTGATTTGAACTCGATGACGAACCAGATGTCACTCCCCACCATCATGAGGCCGCCGAGCACGAAATTCTTGACGCCCTTATTGAGGAGGCAATCGAGGTAATCGTCCCAGGTGTAGTTGGGGTTTCGAGGGCATAGTGTTTGGTTGGAGCATATGGGAGCCTCCTTGTCAACCCAGGGGTAGGTCATTTCTTTGTAAAACTCCAGATGGTTGGCCGAGGTGGTTGGACGCATAAAAGAAGCCGACACGACGGTGGGCAAGCAGAGGTAGGCGTAAATCCACATAGCGCACACTGGAGGGAGAACAACTGTCGACTTAGCAGTGTTAGTGGGAGCCAAGTTTTAAATGCGACTGATACAGTGAGACAGACGAGTCGTAGTGTGGATCTCACACTGTGGAAACTGATGTGAGTCCTACGACTCATAAAAGATGAGGCACAGACTTTCCGAGTTGGAAAGTCCAACTAGTCGAGCTGACCCTCTACCATTTCGATTCAAGAATCCTGATTCTGAATCAGGATTGATATCGAATCAACTGCTGATAAGTACTGTATCTGATACAGTATGTAATAGTGTATCATACAGTAGTACAGAATAACAGCCTGTTTTTCATAAGCTGTGCCAACCCGTGTTGTTCGCATTGTGCGGCCCGCACAAAATGGCGCGTGTGATTTGGTGAGCCGCGATCCGAGATAGAACTGAACTGTCTTCTGCATCTCTTTGAGACATGTCGACACGCTGCATGGTTTCATATGACAACAGAGACGCTCGGCGGGAGAAGGACACGCAAAATAGCCGATGACCCAATAAGTCCAGGGTCGGGTAGCTAGCCCCGTAGCTCTCGACTCGAGAGCTACGGGGCTAGCTACTCGAGAGTCTCGAGTCCCACGTGTTAAGTTCCTCACAACGTGTGCTTCAAGATCGTTGTACGAGGCCATGTACCGCTGGGAGTATGAAATCCCACTGAATGCGAGGGTGCAGAAGAGGAGCACAAACCTGAGAGTCTCAGGCTGAGACCCAGACCATCTGATGCATCTGATGTTCACAATATGACAACTAGGAGTCGTCGGATCACGTTTGGATGTTTCCATGTTCACGCAACAGCCCATCTGCCGATCTCGGCAGTTGGTGACAGATGGTACAACCTAACAGCAATGAGGAATCGGAAGGACATCATCAATCAAGTAGACCATCTTGCCAAGATGATCTTGGGCACCGGGGAAGCCATGCTTTTACTTGATTGTTGCTACTTTCTGAACTGACGTTTCCGATACATATAACCTTGTATTTGCGTGCGATGTTATAGTGGACTTGATCCAATGGAGGTGTCTCCTCTCTTAAGAATGCGAAGTGACTTCGCCGAAGTCAGTACGACAACTGATGTGTCTACTTGGCAGAAAGGGATTCCTGGTGCGGTTTAACTGAATTAATACGATCTCCGTGTTTTAGTCGTTTAACTGAGCTAATACGATCTCCGTGTTTTAGTCGTTTAACTGAGTTAATACGATCTCCGTGTTTTAGTCGTTTAACCGAGTTAATACGATCTCCGTGTTTTAGTCGTTTAACTGAGTTAATACGATCTCCGTGTTTTAGTCGTTTAACTGGGTTAATACGATCTCCGTGTTTTAGTCGTTTAACCGAGTTAATACGATCTCCGTGTTTTAGTCGTTTAACTAAGTTAATACGATCTCCGTGTTTTAGTCGCTATAACTCAAATAACATTGTACGCTCAAGGCCCGTACGCCACGAAACTTCCTGAGGAGTATGAGGTGTACCGTACGTCATGTACATGTTCATCATCATGTTGACATCAGGTCTCTCCGCGGCGGGATCAAATGACACGACACACAGAGCAAAATCGAGATGAACATAACTTCTTGTCAATGACTGGCTCAGCATCCCCTCGGTTCCTCCAGTCTCCGGCATCCAGCCATAGTTGAGGGTTAATAACGCTCGTGTTGAGCACGACGAGCTTAACAGCAAAAAGTTTCACTCGCCGCAAGCGTCAACGTCGGACGCCATGATCACCAGACGAGTCTGGCTAACTAAACGCGGGGAATACTATATTGACCGTCTTCTTTCGAAATATATTAGTTCATACTAATTTGTCTGGCCCTGGTCCTTTTATCATGAGTGCTTTACAACTCCATCAACGATTAACATCATATAAATACTTCAGAAACTCTCATCACAACTCATACACGACATAGTCCTGAACACGCTGACGATACTCCTGCAATCTCAGCGGTTCAATTATGTCATGCAAGAGGCCCTCGCCATCCATGATCTCCTCTAGGGCATTAGGACCATCTTCAGACTTCGGCAGTCTGAACCAAAAAAATACAATTTTTTCTTCGCAAAAGAGTTTACCTGTGATCAACTACGGTACCGTTGAGGTAATTATACGATCGTATTTTCTCACTGCGATCGCCGGAGCCCATATGTTGTTTCCGTATAATCCCTCGCTCCTTCGCGATTTTCTTTCCTTTTTCTTCCATAATTTTTTGCGACACTTGTTGCAATGCCAACGCCTTGTTTGATTTTAACGCGCGATAACAATCAGCGAAACCTTCAACTCCGCTTTCAATGTGGCGAATTCTCACAGCCTGGTGGGCCGCGTTAACACACTGTCCCCCAGGTCCCGAGGATTTCTTCGTGATCCACACTTTGTATTCATGTGGCTTCAACACTGGTATGAGATTGCTATTAGGATCCTCACGAGGGAGCACAACAACGCTACATGCTGAAGTCTGTGGGAGGCTGTCTGCTGGCCACGATGGTACCCGTTGTACCTACTGTGTCGACTATACTTGAATAATCTCAGTTTGCTATATTTTGATCACAAATCTATAGAGAAGTGGAACATTGAGTCACTGGAGCTCCTCGTTCATTTCGATGGTTGAGGAATTGCAAGCAGAGTTACGGAGACTGCGAATTTCATCTCAACATTATGATGATGATGGTGATCTTAGTTTGAGGATGTGACTCACTCGATGTATGCCCGCCTCAAACTTGAGATATCCAAAGATTCCTTTCTCGGGAGTTCGTTTCACGCCTGGCTTGAGGAAGAAATCGGCGATGATCTGTCGGTATCCCGATTGCTGAGAACAATAATAATAATAACAACAACATATACAACAACAACATGTAAAACAACAACATATACAACAACAAAATATACAAAAACAGCTTGCGGATACAAGTTTCCGGGCGACCTCGAAGCGAGTACATGAATTCAAATCATCAATCTTTCACGTGCAGAATCGACCGATTACAGCGAGAGAAGCAGAACAAGCATCTAAGTGATAAACGATTGATACTTATGATTATCACGCATGTCAAAAGATATTATCGTGCTTCCCATTCTTCTCATCACATGAATTCAACAACAAAAAACTATATACAGTATGTTCGACTTTGATAACCCAAAACTTCGCTAATTCGACGACTAGGGATCCCAACTCTCGGACATTCCGACCCCCATGAGTAGGGAATATATTAATAAGTGTTTGAAAAAATCAATTAGAAATATTAATCCTGAAATTAATATTCAATGTATTATCATTATCTATCAAGAACTGTTACAGAGTTAGGTGGTAGCTCAACATCGTCAATCGAGACTTACCCAACCTTGCTCCATCACTTTCACTTCCGGCGCGGCCCATCCCATGATGCCAGCAAAACGCTCGAGCATATCAAAAATATCCTTACACCATTTGCCAGCCTCTACTCCGCCGACTCCTAAGAAAAGAAACGTATTCGTATATATTCCAAGACGAATAATTCACCTGGTCTGATTTCAACAGTGCAATCACTGGCGTCCTTGACGTACGCGTGCCAAGTCGCACAATCAACTCCTTCACTACTCATTCGAGTATGCAGATGGTCAAAGAGTCGATTCTCTATTTCAATTATCTTCTCAAGTTGGGAATCTACTTCTGCGTTGAACATACTCTTCATTCTGAAAAAGTGACCCCAGGATATAATAACAATGGGAAGAATATTATTAATGTTATGACATTTACATGGGAAACTGATTGAAGAATGTGGAAAGTTCAAACTGAGTTCCCTCGGGAAGACTGGATATTTCCTGTATACAAGCACCCACGATATATCATTTCTCTCCAGTTTAGCGGACTCCTGCTCCAGTTTTGCGATTTCATCACTAACACTGAGCATCTCGTCCACCATGTTGAAATATGGTGCCAATTCTGGTCGGTTCCTGAGCCAACAGCAGGCAGTATGGAGCAACACGCACGTAGTGCACGTAGTGAACTACATACGATATGAAAATTCTGAGAAAAACCTCGTTGGTTTCCGAACATCTCCCCTCGAATTCTATATAAACGCCCGAGCTCAGCTGAGGAAAGCGAACATACACTGTGAACCAGACAGTTATGCATATCTAGATTTCCGAGATACCTTTGTCAACTAATGACTACGGAACGCTTCTATTAAGTTTTCAATAGATTCACACTGTTAGCATATTGATATTACTCAAAGTTGACTTTGGAAGTTTCAAAAAAGACGTTGGAATATTGGTTCGCATAACGATTTATTTCATACTGTATATTCCAATACTGGCAACAGGGCGACCAACGCCCCCGACTCATCGCGACGTTTCTTCGATGGTACGGCAAATTTCATATACTTGAGTTTTTGACCATTGAAAACGTTACAATGCAGCAGAAGCTCACCCCGCATTTCGAATTTCCATCAATTTATTCAAAACTGGTTTCAACATCCCATCGGGCGCATTGGCGAAATATGCAGCCGGCAGAGGCTCGGGTGTAGTCTTCAACGTTCTTGTCGTGCGAAAGGCCCAACATGATCTACTGAATGATGGTGAATGTAGGGACCGATGGGGAGGAGCCACTGCTGCTAGTACTGACATGGAATGCTGAGAGACATCCGAATGGAGGCACAACTGTCGAAGGGCTTAACCAAGAATCGAACTCGGAACCTCTTACGGCCACAGCGAGAATCATACCACTGGACCACACAACCAGTGAAAAACTGTACGAACGTTCTGCCCAAACTAGTGGAACGATATCAAACCCTTCTTCCCAAACATCATGGCCATCTGGGACATGATGGTCAAACACAAACCGTGGAAAAGAACTGTGAATCTCACATGCATGATTCTCCACTCTATCTCTGAACAACTCGGCAATCATCACTATGGGTATGCAATACTCGCCTTGGTGGGAGTACTACAAGCCTAAGCCAACCCAAGGTCGCCGTCTACATTCAACTATAGTGATGCCACGTGAATCCTCGGGGATCTCTGGCGGGTCACTATCAGCCAGGCTTGCTCTCTCAACTGTTATAGTCGAATTCCATCAGGGATGGGAAGGATGGATCATTCTTCCCATTCCTGGTAATTTCAAATTCCGAATTTCCGGGGATACACCTGGGAAAAAAGGATGCATTCTACCCTGGTCTGGGGGGGCCGACCGGAAATTTTCGCGGCCTTTCCAGCAGCTCTGTTCCCTACTGGGGGACAGAGCTGCTGGAAAGGAGAGTGAAGACTTGGTGATTGAGCGTGGCACGCTATAGCCTCCCACCTCCCCTGAGCTCAATACATATTGCTAAGGCTTATGAGCCGACGCCCAGCACCACGCCAGCAGGAGGGTCTCTCCCGAAAACAGTGAATCCTGAGAAGGGTGAAGGGCGAGTGAATCCGTTGTAGAGACTTTTTCTCCCACTAAAGCGGGTGAAAGCCTGAAAATAGTGAACAACAAACTCGCCCGCACCGGTATCCCAAATATCAGTAATTTTTCTACCACTCCTCCCCGAACCGATTGCGCTTTCAATGATCACACTCTGTCCGGTTGTTTCATGTTTAAGTAGTCAGCTTGCTCACGGCCACCACAGCGCTATGAAACACTGAGGACTGGTGCACATATTATACAGATTGTCATCTTTTTCACGCCTAGTTCTTCGTTGCGTGTCTTGAAGCGACTTTTCAAAAGTAGGAGCGGACGGAGGCCTTCACGATAGTGTAGGTTGACTTGACTGGGTAACCCAGTCTGGGTTGCAGATGGAGGCCAACACTCGAACAAATAGCAACAGCAGATTCGATACGGTCGAGGTTATCGTAAATGTTGTTGTCGCCATTGTCCATCTTGACATCAGAGAAGTATCTCACGACTTACGCATGTGAATTCGACAGAGAGAGCTTATGTTGAAGGTAGCCAAGTGCTTGTGATACTGTCAGAACATAGTCGCTCAACTTGAGCGGCTTAAGTAGAGGATGGGATCCATAGTAGTTCCCAGGTGGATCTGCAAGTTCCTCTTGACCGACTGACTAAGACAGTTGGATAGATAGATATGAGATAGTCGAGGTCCCAGCGCTGTTTGTTTCGCTTCACAGCGGATAAGACTTAGAAAGTAGTTGATACTCCTGTTATCAGAGTTTCCCTTGTATTCTTTGTTGTCGGGGCACTTGACATGGGAAACAGCATTGATGGGCTTTGTTGTATCAAGCGCCTTCTCCTTGTCATAGTTGTGTGATAGATCACAGTGCGATCATCACACCAGTACGCCACGTTGGTGATGTCCTTGTTACAAAGGTGATGTTGGCCTTGCATGAGAGGGGCTTGGAGCACTCCTTGAGGATAGAACTGCACAGTGGGAGCAGAAGATGTAACCTGCTGTGGATGTGCTGTGTTTGCTGGCCTTCGAGAGAAGCTTGCAGCTTGAGAGTTAGGGCCTTCGGCGTCTATATAGGTGAAGAAGGTACGTCGTAGATGGACCTTCTTACAAAGAGATTGACCTTCCATGGCAGTCTCTAACCCAGCAGCTGATAACCATAGTAGTAGTGAAGGTTCAGCAATACCGAGAACTTCAAGGAGCTCAGCCAGCGGGCTCCCCCATGCTAGTAGTAACACCCGCAGTGCGGGTGTTACGGGGCTGTAATGGGGTGTCACCC